GAAATGCCTGGAACGAGCCTGACTTCTGACGCCGCCGACGAGGGGAAGGACGCGCAATATACTCACCATCGGACTCCGAAGCCTCGGGGAACACTGCGTCTGCTACTCAGTCCAAATGCTGGAGAACGTCCCAAAGACACTGGATCTGATCCTCCTTACCACGGGGAGGCTCGCCATCATAATTGTCCTTGAGAAGCGCATTTGGCTGTTTGACCACCCCAGGATTCGACGACCACGACTTGGTAAGGATCTCGCTGACCTCCTTGACGGCGCCTGCTTCTAACTTGCATTTGGCGCCCCACATTGTCTTGATGATGCACTTCTGCGACGCCGAGAGAACGCCGTCCGCAATCTGGCCGCCCTTGGTAGGGGTGGGAGGTGGCGGCTGAGGTGGGGGCGCCGACGGCGAGGATGGGCACCGCTATCGCTGAAAGAGCCTGGTCAAGCTGGGGGCCCGCGACGTTCTCCAATATCTCGCCCTGGCGCTTGAACTCCTCATCCCGCGACTCGGCTTGCTCCGGCTCCTGGAAGCGGGCGAACTGCGGGCTCTGCTAGGCCAGGAAGCGCTCGGCACGGCAAACCTCCTCATCCGAGTCGGGCGAGTCGTCGCGGCGACGGCGGTCGCGATCGCGGCCCCCGCGACCGCGATCATCCCCGCGAGCCCCACGATCGCCGCGGCGGTCACTGCGATCGCTCCACTCACGAGTCTGCTCGTAGGGCCGGCCACCGCAGCCATATCCTTTGCTGGGCCCATTGCCAAGACCTTTGCCACCATCACCCGCGCCGCCACATTTGCCCATCGCTCGGGGCCAACGACGTCGAGCGTGAACAGTGTGCCGTACTTGAGACAGCCGCAACTGACGAGCGCTGAGCACAGATGGCGACGGTGGCAATGAAAGATCAAACTTGATGATAAAAGCCATGGATCATCCAAGCTTCAACAGCTCGAGAGCGCACTCCACGATTATGCTTGACATCCAAGCCCGAGATAAGCAAGCCGAGCGAGCGGAAGCCAGTTTACTGAATAGCGGGGCTCGGACACGTGCGAACGCGCATGGTGGGCGCCCAAGCCGCGGGATAATGGCGCTATGGTGGCACTCCGAAGACTCGTATATCCAGAGCCGTCGTTGGTCTTTAAGAATCCAACTTAGTGACCTCGAGTAGAACCGAAATTTTAAATTCGCCCATTCAAGCTCTTCCCCATCAAAAACGAAACACCCAGACGAATATCGGGTCGGGCACCCAGTAGACTGAAATACAACAGATACAGGCTGAAAACACAGAGTTTCCAATGCACTGTTCATGCATGCTGGGCAATAGCAGAGACTAGATAAAGAACATGATAGCATCCGCATGCCTACGCCAATTCAGGTCAGTTTCTATCGGAGGGTCTGAGCGGAAACCAAGAGCCTCCACAACTTCGCCACTTTCTCCAACGCCAGAAACTCCTCATGCGCAAACCGAACAGAGACTGCAGCACTACTTATAGAGCCCCTGATGCACAATCCCAGAAGCTCGAACACCAAGTTCCCAACCACAGCGAAACTACAGGTAAGACCTGCTAGAAAGGCTCTCCTCAAGGACTCCAAGGACAGGGCCCGCCAAGCACGACTCCAGGAACGAGTGGCGGTCGTAGGTTTATGCTGTTTGCCTTTTGCAATTGAGATAGTGCCCAAACACCTGCGACTGCGCGGAAATGGGGCTTTAACAGCAACCGTGCCGGCAACGCATTTTCAATGCGACAACTCTCAAACGCCTGATCCACGTCAAAGGTCGAAGCCTGAAGGCATCCGCGCAGGTGGCAACCGCGGCGCAGGCGACGCCCATCGGGTGCAGGCGCCGCCAATAACTGCATGTCCCGCCTCAGAACCCTGCCGACGTCACCGATGTTCAAGATCTCGCGCCTTGCACCTGAGATTTCCAGAACAATGCGAATAGCAGGGCCGATAACTTTCCAAGAACTCGCGAAGGGGGTCTATGCCATGTCAATAATTCTGCGCATGCGCGAATTTGTTGGGCGACCGCACTTCCATTCGCCG